ATTTAATTCATTATTTCATCGAATATTGTCAAAACTTGATAATAGTTATACAAATTACATAATTATATAATGATTTGTTGGAGCATAACTGATACAATTAAATTTTCAAAGTATTTTTTATAAATCATAAAATTGATTTACGTTTCATGTCTTTAATATAAAGTTTTTAATCTGATACGACGTACAACATTTATATAGACCTTCACAAGTGTTTTTTATTGCTTTATTTACGAAAGTCCTCGATACATTAGAAGATCCCTTGATAATAGAAGACTCTCTCTCTCTCATGAACAAATGAAGTAAAAGATAATTGAGACGGTATTCTTCTGTTCAAAGCTTCACTTCTCTTGTGAATTTTCTCCTAGGTATTCGTACACATTCTTAAGTAGAAAAAAAACCTATATCTCTGCACACACGTGTTCTATGAAGTATGCTTTTTTATGCCTGAGGACGCAATTATTTTACAAAGAGGTGCAAAATTTGTTTTTTTTTTCGAAATTGATACAAACAACACTAAAAATACTTTCAACGTATTATTCAATCATTCTGTTTCTGTAAACTACTTCTTCGTGCATAATTGTATTCATTCAAGCGAGCTAGGAACTAATAACGAAATTGTAGTATATTTCATTTAGAAAGGATGCCATCTACACTCATCCAATCTCATCATAATCAGTTGATCACTCAGGTCAACGAATACAGAGTCTATATACTACACCTGTAAATATCCGTATGTGCCATGAAGATGTATAATTATAATACTAAGTCATGTATATTGTCATCCTTTTGTATATAAGGTCGTCAATGATCGTACCTATATGACATGGGAATTAATATATAATTCAGTTGTATATAAAGTGGAAACTTATCATTGGTTTTGATGCTGGAGTTAAAAAATAAGATTCTTAATTGAGACGGATATTTAAACTCAAGACTAATATACGAGCGTGCTTTTTCAACTTGGATGAATCGACATCATCTATTTTCTAATCTTTATTAGCAGGATCCGTTTATTTACAAATAGACCAATGAAAAGGCAAATTTTTGTGGGCTTTATTGTTTTTTTAAGGTTTCAAATAATGAAAAGGAAGATAGCAACAAAAGTCAGCCAGTATTCTCTCTGGACAAATAATTTTCTCTATATCATCTGTACATACAGCTGATCATAGAGAGACAAAGAATCAACCAATCAATCGATAGTATTGATTAGAAACATGTTAACACGTGCTAATCAATTTCGCAATAGTTACTTTTTTTTGACGTCAATCAGTTGATTGATCGAAAGGTAAATTTTGCAAGTACAATAACAGGAAAAAAAACAACCTGATTCCCGTAAGCTGTAAATATCTTTTGAGAAAAAGTATTTCGTACTTAATCGTAGAAATGATCATTCGTTTTTTTTTAGATATCCACGTCTCAATAATCGGTATTCGAAGTTTCGAATGCCGTCAAGTTGATATTTTTCATTTTGTTTCACTATTAACTTTACTATTATTCAAAAAGATATTTATAGATCTTTGTTTAAAAAAAAATAATTAAGATACTTATTGACATCAAATTAAATTGATCTATCCGTGTAACATACAATGGGATAAAAAAAGGTAATCGAGTAAAAACTTTATATACACAATATTTACTTTTCAGAGTATTTCAATAATAGAAATGTTTGAATTCAAACAAACAAATTATAAAATCTATTTTGACAAAAAGGCACTCTAATTGTACATGATTGATTTCATATCAGACATAAATGAAAGATAATAATTTATTCTCGAAAAATGATTATTATAATTATGGGCAATAAGGATCAATTAAAACAAGAAAACATCATCAATCTATTTTGATTTATACATGTTGAAATAGCATAAGTATTCGAATAAAGAAACAAATATTTTTCATTGTAAAGTACAAGAAGTTTACATTTATGCCTAGTAACGTTCAAGGTCAATCACATGTTATTGTAAAGCTTTTTTTTAACATATTGATTCATTTCTAGAAAGCACCAAAAATAGTTTAACTAACATTAAATAATTATCTTGAAGCCTTGTATTTTTCAATACAGGTAGCTTTAAATGACGATCTACAGAATAATAAAAAAAGATTTTTCATCAAAGAAAATCATAATAGAAGGAAGTTGAACACGAGATCAATAATTTTTTTTAAAATTTTGTCGAAAACCTACAGTCAAATAAAAATCAAACATTAAATAACTTGCCACAGCAACGATTTTATTCTAACGTATTTTAATAAAATTTTGTCTCTCACATTCTTACGTATCAAAAATAATCAAATTTTATTTATAGAACATCCATAATAATGCATATTTGAAAAAAAAACAACTATACACAATGCTAATAAACAATAAATTCTATTTGCGGAATAGTAAAAATCGTCGTCTTATTCCTTTTTTCGTTAGATGAAATACTGAATATCTCTTTCGAATATTATATTCGTAAAACTTTCGATTCAAAGACTAGTATGAATATTATCTTATCGATAATTCGATCTCGTTTTCAATTATGACAATTCAAAAGAAAACTTGTTTGGAAATAATTTAAAAACTAAATGTATCAAAAAAAAAGATTATTATTACTTGATTACACAATTCTTCTCATAAAGTAACGTTGTAATAAATATAATTAGTGCCAATTTGTTTATATATATAAGCATAAGCAAAAATGAAATCAAATGGTTTCTTTCTTATGATTGTATTTTATTTAAACTGGCTTTTTTTAAAAATTTCATTATGGTTTCTCTTTCTTATTCAAATATTTTATTTTGATGTTAATGAATTACACAATGTTTTATTATTTTCATCTTGAATTTTATAGTAAAGTAAAACAAAAACAGACGAAATTTCACATTTTTCTTTTTTTTATTGCAAGCAAGAGAACAAAAAAAGCATACTTTATTCATAATATGAAGATAATTCAATATCATTCGAAGATTTTTCATCAAAAGAAAGAACGGAAAACGACTTGATTAAGATTCCGACATATTTCTCAATACTGACTTTTCTTTAGTTTTCTTCTCTTTTTCTTTGGTTAGAAGATCGATAATAAGAATAGATGTTTCTGACGACAATAATAAGAAAACGATTTTTTTTCTATTTTATGTCGGTGCAATTGACAACCGTAGACATTCATTTGCTAAGAAAAGGAACAAGTTGATAAGAGAAGGTAGAAATGTTTTTGCTGCCATGACTTCTGCTGTGATTTGGTTTCCATGTATTTTCAATCGACATAATTGAATCAACAAAAAAACATTGTTGTACTGTTTTTTTTTCATTCAAAATCATTTAGTTACTTTTTTAGTTAATGGAGAATACATCAAGTATGTATGAATCAAACGAAACAACACAGAAAAGAATACTTTAAAATTAAATTTGTCTTTTTATCAAAACACTTTAAAATATTTCAAACAAAATTTTTGATTATTGAATATTTGATAAAAGATTGAAATTTTGTTTAACAATATAGAGCTTAAATTCTTCTTCTGTTTATTTTCATATTACTGAGTAAACGAAAGTATTCTTGCACTCATATGTATACAAGAATGTCCTATCCCTTCACATTTGCTATGCTGGACTATGAACATAATCTCTTAATATTTTGCTCGTAAGTAAGGATCATATGCACTATGAAGCATGGCAAAAAAAATACAAACAAACTTGAAATTTATAAGAAAAGAAAAAAAGACCATCTTATTCGTTGGACACAACTTATAACATCCATCTACAATTTTTGTAAGAAGAGTACCATGAGTAGCTATGCCATGACTTTCAAAATTATTTGATCAGATTTATTTTCAATTTTTTCCTTTTGCCATAAACGCTTATAAGAATTCAAATACTCATTTAAGTAAAAACTATTATTTCCAACGAGAATTTTTGAAGATAAAAAAAATGGTCGCATGTTTATCAAGGGTAGAATCTCTAAAAAATCAGATTTTTCAAGTCATAGAATTCTGTTTGAATTACGCAAAATGATAAAGCAAACAATTCTCTATAAAATGAACCATTTTCAAGTTCTGAACGAGCTTTTTTGACTGAAATGTATCAACCTTAAGAAACGCATAACAACTGTATTTTCATGCGGAATAACAGAGAACAAGGCAACTTTTGTACTTTCTGTAAGATTAATTTGATTCGGTCAACAAACTATGAGTTGAAAAACTTGGTTTTTCAGTAATCTCATCCTTGGAAAGCCTGCAATTATTCTAATATTCAAAAATTCTTGTTGAAAATAAAATGTTCTATTCAAAATCACTATTTGGATGTTTATTAGCGTTTACGTCAGTAGAGAAAAAATTTGAAAATAAACCTTGTCGAATAATTTTTGGGGACGACTATATGCACATTTATATATATATATATATATATGTATTGTATATGTGATTGAAAGGTTTTAAAATAAAATTATATTCGATATATGCATGTTTCTTTTTACATATTTATTTCATTGTATACATTACAAAGCAAAAAAGCAAGATGATTAAGATTGTAGTATAGTAGCCGTCGCTATCGGCATTGTTACAAGAGTTTTTTTTTGTTCTCTTTCCACGCCTGCACTTTTTTCAATCTATTTCAAAATGAATACATCATGAATGTATTTAAATAAGTGTAATATTTTCTGTTTTATTAAGAAGAGCATTGTTGTCAATCAATTAAGACTATGTTAAAATAAATAAAAAAACAAATTAACTGAGAGAAACTCAATATCAATTCTTTTATTTGCTATGATACTAATAAAATATTTTTTACATATGAATTGATTTGTAGATCTGTTTATCCGGTGATCATTTACTATGCATAAGAAGCAAAAAATATAGGAAAAAAATGTATAGATACTATTTCGTGATCGCCATAAAATTGTTATTATGGCATGTAAGTATAGGTCATTGTATATATTTTTTTCTTTGTTTCTGATATAAAACTTAATTATTTACTTTAGACATGTGTCTCTTTGCATGAATGTAATAGAACAATTAATGAAACTGAGATGACTTTTACTTGTCCATCGACTGTCGGTAGTCAAGAACTTAGATTATATGATTTAACTACTGGTCAATTGGATAGTATTACATCATTGATAGTAGTGGGTAGTGAAGATAATTGGGGTCCTTTTACACGTATTCCTGCTAATATATGTTTATTAAGAAATTTACAAGTTAGTTAAATTGAATATTTATTTTCTTATTATAATTGAAATTCTTTTAGAAAATTGATTTTTCATATAATCAAATTGTTGAAGCAGATTCAACAGGATCGTTAACTGAATGTTTATCAAATGTGATTACACTTGATCTTAGTTCTAATAATATTTCTACATTTCCATCATTTATGATATATAACATGCCAAGTTTAAAAAATCTCTACTTTCAAGATAATGAATTGACTGAAATACCTGTGAACGCTTTTATAAATATATCATCATTAGAAATAATCGATTTTTCATATAATCAATTAACAACATTTGAACTATGGGCTCTGGAAGTAAAAACAAAAGCAGACTTTAGTAATAATCAAATTTCTACTATAACGAACAAATATTTTTTTACTGAAATGCTTGATAGAACTATGGAAGAAGGTGCTTATCTAGATAACAATAGTGCAACAATAAATTTTACTGATGCAGTTTATGAAATGTATAATCAATGTGAAGAAGTTTTTCAATGGTATTTTAGTACTGACGAAAATCTAACTCCACCATGGTTTACATGGAAATTGGCTTATATTGACTTTGGTACAACACAAATTAACTGCACTTGTGATCAAGCCTATTTTGTACGTATACTTAAAGATAATCTCATTGAAGGGCAAACTTATCCGATACAAAATGCAATGTGTACAAATAATTCACTAGGCGTCAATGACACAACTCTCCTGACTTCTCGCTGTGTTTCATCTATGTTCGAAGTTAATTCAACTGTCGATTTTTCGCAAGTTTACCCTAAATTATGTAAGATTAATGAAGATGAAGAGGGTGAAGTAATAAACATAACAAACATCGATCCACCAACATCAAATGTGGTAAGATGTATTTTTGTGAAACACGATCTAAAACGAGTGTTGAAATATAGAGATAGAAATTTGAAACGTTCACCTAGAGTCTATCGGTTCCGAAATTTCCAGATCCAAATCTGGTAGAATCGTATCTTGATACTCTCAATGAAATTTTCTAATTGGAATGGAATAGTCACTCCGAAGATACAATATACTTTTTCCTGTTTTCGATTTTCGATGACTAGCACTTCCTACACATTTCTCAGACTACTAGAGCCCATCGGATCCAAAATTTGTGGACCCGAAACCCACCTAAGGCGCTCTAAACTCATCCCACCCCATAGATATAGTCAACACCTTAGCAGGGTCCTCTTTTCTCTATCACTGATCTTAACACGGACATCTTAGAAGCACCTGTCGTCTGTCACAAACCGTGATACATACTTTAGTATTGCTGCTCATTTCTCATGGACTATCACAAGTAATACTTGCAAGACCGAAGTCCAACTGCGACATTATTTTAAAACACAATTATATTTAATATAGCTGCCATATTGCTCTAGTGGCGTAACCAGAAAAAGTGTTAGAGGAGAAAAGTTGAGCCTCCATCCAGTTACGCTACTACTTGGTCCTTCTTTCATATTGACTGTAATAAATAACGATTAGTAAGTTTCATAATCGACATCTAGTAACAGTAGGTAGAAATATACAAATCAAAATCTATGCTAGTGAATTCCTTATATTGACATTTTGATCTCATAAAGATTGTACTAACAGTTTTTTAAACAATCTTAGAAAGATTTTGTTTATTAATTTCATTTTATAATTTGAAATAAATATATAACTATTCAGAATAGATTAATATTTTTATATGTTATGTTAAACTTAATTAAAATCATTGTTACAATTTAAATTCTAATGTTTCTTTTTTAGTCGCTTTATCCATGTTATAAAACAGCATTTTTGAATCCAGGAGCATGTTACTTCTCATTTTCAGACAGTACTTCAATGATGATTAGATGTACAAATGACACATCAAATTCATTATCAAGAATTCCTTCAGATTTATTATCAAGTCCTTGCATGTCTACTATAACTCGTATTACATTTCCTTCATCTATTTCATCACTTCCATCATATGTTTGTTCATTACCATCTCGTGAAATTGATTTAAGTTTTCAAGCATTTACCACACTTAATGATGAAACATTTCCATGTCTTGATTCATTTCGTACAATAAACTTATCCTTTAATAATTTAACATCAGTATCTATGACAAATGGTAATTTTAAAAACTTAACATCACTTGATCTTTCATCAAATCAACTTACATTATTACCATATTCTATTCTTAATCCTACACCAACATCATTACGTTATCTTGATTTACGAAATAATTCTATAAAATATATTGATCTTTTTATTTATACACTAAAAAATATTACAATTAATCTTGATAATAATCCTATAAATAGTTCAAATATTATCAATCCACAAAATATAACATTAGGAAATAATGATACTTCAACAGTAAATATTACTTTTCCATTAACTGTAGCAAATAGTACAATTACTATTACAGATTCCATAGCATTAACTTATGGTTTATGTAATAATTTTCAATCTTTACGAAATAGTCTTCTTAATCTTCGATTAGCAGTTGGTAATGTTTTACTTCAATGTACATGTGCATCAATAAATTTAAAACAAATATATCAAAAAAATGGATATAATATTATAAGTGATTTTCTATGTTCAAGTCCAACTACAGAAGGAACTTTTGACGCATTAAATATGACTTCTTGTCCAAATGCTACGGATTTTCAAGCAGGATTATGCGCCAATAAAAGCTCTGAGGTATGTCTTATAATCTTTATCTTCTTCTGGAATGAAATTATAATCAAATTTATAAAAGCAAAAAAAAATATTGAAAAAATTAAATTTTTGATTTAAAATCACAATAATATTCAACACATATAAACTAATCATTCTAATAGGTTTTGATTAATTTTAATATAAATCTTTCGTAACTTTAGCTTTCAGTATATTTCATTGTATCGTATATTATGTACTATTCTTCTGTAACTGTAAAATATGAGAATATATTCACATACAACATAGAATCATTGTTGACCGCATCAACAACATGATTATTGTTGTTGTATTCTGTAGTCATTCAACCGTATATGTAAACATCACTTCATATGACAACAATGAAATGTTTAAGCACTACTGTTGCGTTAACAACTCTTTCTTTAACAAATCTTATAATAAACTCATCATTACAATTTGCATTTAATATATCATATGAAACATAATATAAAACTTTAAGTGAATTTAAAAGAAATTTAACTTGATCAGATTATTATATTTATATTAATAATAGATAATGAGTCAAATATATTTATCATGTTTAATAAATACAACAAGACCAATATATTTAGTATAGTCCATACAGGGAACCGATATCGATACGGATTTCAGACAGATCGGTCATTACCGGTGTGTCTTATTTGTTTGTTTTTTTTGCTTTTATTATCTCACAGACAATGTGTAATGAAACTTTGTTGAACGTTGACTATATCAAATATCACTGTCCACATATGGAATAGTACGACAAATCATCAATTCAGTGTCGGTATGGATTTCAAACCGATCGATCTGGTCCGCTCTGATCCACTCAGATCAGTATCGGTAATGATCATGAAAAACGTAGACTGATGCCATCTCTGGCATGATCGTAAGTGACGTATCAATGATGATCTGTCAACTATTGTCTTTATCCTTCTGATTATAATTAATAGATCATCAGAGCATTAGACTCATGACTATTGTTGAAGAGATATTCTTTGTTATACTTATTTTTGAAACAATCTATCTCTTCACATTGCTTATTTGTTTTCTCTGTTTAGTTTTTTTTAATATCTTTGCTATATATGTGTATTAATAATGACTAGAAATCTACAATAGATTAGATTTACACAAATAAACATCATCATATTTGTATTATTTCTTTTGTCATTTCAGCCATCAAGTTCAAGTACAAGTGCTTCATCTCTTCAATCAAATAATGATGATTCCAATTCGAATCGTACCAAATTAATTGTTGGTCTTGTTGTTGGATTAGGTGGTGGTCTTTTATCAATTGCTGGCCTTCTAACTGCAATTTACATGATAAAAACTAAAGGTGCAGCATCAAGTGCAAAAAAACCTGTAACTCGAGCTACTGCTGTTGGTCAAGCATCTGGAGATTCTCTCTTATCTCGTGTACAACCAAGAAATTTACGATCA